TAAGCAGCGCCGCCTCCTCCGCCGTCGCAGCCATGCCGAGGTGCGCATGGCCGAACACAGCCTGAAAGCGGCTGCCGTGCTTCGACACGCCCGTGAAGCCCGTCTGCGACTGCGACGACGGAATCAGCGTCAGGCCCTCGTCCGCTGCCAGCTGCTTCGCCTCGGCCGCCGTCATCGGCTCTGCCTCCGCCGCCGCCGCCGCCGCCGCTGACGCCTCCGCCCCGACGTGGCGCGCGTACAACAGCGCCGCCTCCTCCGCGGTCGCAGCCATGCCGAGGTACTCTTCACTTTGGTGCGACCCAAACACAGCCGCAAAGCGCCCACCCCGCTTCGACACGCCCTTGAAGCCGGTCTGCGACTGCGATGACCGCACCAGCGTCAGGCCCTCGTCCGCCGCCAGCTGCTCCGCCTCAGCCGCCGTCATCGACTCAGCTGCCGCCGCCGCCGCCGCCGCCGCCGCCGCCGCCGCCGCCAACGACGCCGCCGCCGCCGCCGCCAACGACGCCTCCGCCCCCAGGTGGCGCGCGACCATCCTTGACGCCGTCGCTGGTTGTGCCTCTCTACTCCCTTCTACGGCTGCATTCGACATCTCGACCGCCTGGCGTCCCGCGTACTCGTCCTCCGCTGCATCGGTCGCAGCCGATGCCTCCGCGCCAAAATGGCGCGCGTACAGCAGCGCACCCTCCTGCGCCGTCGCGGTGCAGCCAATATGCTGCTTTCTCCCATCAAGCCTGCGGCTCACCGCAAAGCCGTTGCCATTCGAGTTTGCGTACACGCCTTCGAACCCGGTGCTGGCGCGCGACGAGCGCACCAGTGTCAAACCCTCTGCCGCCGCTGCCTGCTCCGCCTCCGCCGCCCCTGCCGCCGCTGCCGCCGCTGCCGCCGCTGCCGCCGCTGCCGCCGCTGCCGCCGCTGCCGCCGCTGCTGCGGACGCCTCCGTTCCCAGCTCGCGCGCGTACAGCAGCGCTCCCTCCTCCGCCGTCGCGGTGGAGCCAATATGCTGCATTCTACCATCAACCCTGCGGCTCACCGCAAAGCCGATGCGTTTCGACTTTGCGTACACGCCTTCGAACCCGGTGCTGGAGCGCGACGAGCGCACCAGTGTCAAACCCTCTGCCGTCGCTGCCTGCTCCGCCTCCGCCGCCGTCATAGACTCGGCCGCCGCCGCTGCCGCCGCTGCTGCGGACGCCTCCGTTCCCAGCTTGCGCGCGTACAGCAGCGCTCCCTCCTCCGCCGTCGCGGTGGAGCCAATATGCTGCATTCTACCATCAACCCTGCGGCTCACCGCAAAGCCGATGCGTTTCGATTTTGCGCACACGCCTTCGAACCCGGTGCTGGCGCGCGACGAGCGCACCAGTGTCAAGCCCTCTGCCGTCGCTGCCTGCTCCGCCTCCGCCGCCGTCATAGGCTCGGCCGCCGCCCCTGCCGCCGCTGCTGCGGACGCCTCCGTTCCCAGCTTGCGCGCGTACAGCAGCGCTCCCTCCTCCGCCGTCGCGGTGCAGCCAACGTACTGCGTTCTACCATCACGCCTGCGCGTCACGTTAAAGCCTCTCCCCTTCGACGTTGCGTACACGCCTTCGAACCCGGTGCTGGAGCGCGACGAGCGCACCAGTGTCAAGCCCTCTGCCGCCGCTGCCTGCTCCGCCTCCGCCACGGTCATAGACTCGGCCGCCGCCCCTGCCGCCCCTGCCGCCGCTGCTGCGGACGCCTCCGCTCCCAGCTCGCGCGCGTACAGCAGCGCTCCCTCCTCCGCCGTCGCGGTGCAGCCAATGTGACGCGTTCTACCATCAACCCTGCGGCCCACCGCAAAGCCGTTGCCTTTCGAGATTGCGCACACGCCTTCGAACCCGCTTTTGGAGCGCGACGAGCGCACCAGTGTCAAGCCCTCTGCCGCCGCTGCCTGCTCCGCCTCCGCCGCCGTCATAGACTCGGCCGCCGCCGCTGCCGCCACTGCTGCGGACGCCTCCGCTCCCAGCTTGCGCGCGTAAAGCAGCGCTCCCTCCTCCGCCGTCGCGGTGCAGCCAATGTGCTGCGTTCTACCATCACGCCTGCGCGTCACGTTAAAGCCTCTCCCCTTCGACTTTGCGCACACGCCTTCGAACCCGGTGCTGGAGCGCGACGAGCGCACCAGTGTCAAGCCCTCTGCCGCCGCTGCCTGCTCCACCTCCGCCACGGTCATAGACTCGGCCGCCGCCCCTGCCGCCCCTGCCGCCGCTGCTGCGGACGCCTCCGCTCCCAGCTCGCGCGCGTACAGCAGCGCTCCCTCCTCCGCCGTCGCGGTGCAGCCAATGTGACGCGTTCTACCATCAAGCTTGCGCGTCACATTAAAGCCTCTGCCCTTCGATTTTGCGCACACGCCTTCGAACCCGGTGCTGGAGCGCGACGAGCGCACCAGTGTCAAGCCCTCTGCCGTCGCTGCCTGCTCCGCCTCCGCCGCCGTCATAGACTCGGCCGCCGCCGCTGCCGCCGCTGCTGCTGACGCCTCCGTTCCCAGCTCGCGCGCGTAAAGCAGCGCTCCCTCCTCCGCCGTCGCGGTGCAGCCCTCTGCCGCCGCTGCCTGCTCCGCCTCCGCTGGCGTCATGCACCACAGCAAGACACTCGGGGTGAAGCGGGTTTTCGCGGCGCTGGGGACGTGGATTTCTTGAAAATGAAAAAAAGGTTAAATAGCCCAGCTTTCGCGGGACCAGACCCCCCCCCCCCCCCGCTTGGGCCGGCGAATAGACTACATACCATATCCCGGAAAAGTTGGAACCCATGTTGAAATGAACTCGGGGGCACGGGACGCGGCACAAACGGGGCACAAACGCCAGGCTACAAAGACGGGGAGGCACGTAGTGACGCAGGGGAGTCTAGGCGACCCATTTGTGTGTGTACCCAGCTCGCGTACAACGGTGGAGCAACCTGTAGCTGCAACAGGGAAACTCTCGCGCGCGACGACATGCCACGCCGCGTGGTCGACTCGGAGAGCGAGGACGACGATGTGCCGCTCTCTACCCGTGCCGCTGAGCAGCAGCCCAAGACCTCCAAAGGGAAGCCGCAAGGTGCCAGGGCGCCAGAGAAGGACGAGAATGGCAACGAGTGGCACTTCACGGGGCACAAGTGGCTGGGCGTCCTCGTCGCGCGCAGCTTCGGGCGCACGGTGGCCGTCGGTCAAATCACCAAGTGGCTTCCGCCCGACGGCGAGGACGGCGCGCTCTTCAAGGCCGTCCACCTCGACGGAGACGAGGAGGACCTTGAGGACCACGAGGTGGTCGAGGCGATCCAGAAGTACCAGACGACGGGCCACGCGGCTCGGAAGGCGAAGGCCGCGGCTGCGACGCCGCCGCGCCCCGTGAAGGCGGGTTCGGCGAAATCCGCCTTTGCCAAGGCGGCTGCGAGGGCGGCCGCCGCGTCGGCGGCCGACGAGGACGAGGATGAGGACGACGAGGACGACGAGGACGACGGGACCGACGAGGACGACACGCCGAGGCGCGGCGGGCGCGGCGGCAAGCGCAAGAAGATCCGGCGCGTCAAGCAGGACGACGAGGTCAAGGAGGAGACGCGCGCGGCGCTCGAGGCGGAGGCGGAGCGGCGGAGGCAGGTGGGCGGCGGCATCGACGACGAGGAGGACGAGGAGGAGGAGGACGAGGAGGGCCTGGTGCTCAACGTGGCGGAGGCGCGGGGCAGCGAGGCGTCGGCGGTGCGGCTGCAGCCGGCGCTCGGCGCGCAGCTCAAGCCGCACCAACTGAGCGGCACGCGCTTCCTCTTCGACAACGTGTGCGTCTCGTGCGCCTCGCTCCGCGCGGGGCGCGAGGGCATGGGCGCGCTGCTCGCCCACTCGATGGGCCTCGGGAAGACGCTGACGGCCATCTCGCTCATCGACGCGCTGCTCACGAGCGCGCCGCTGCGCGAGGCGGCGCGCGCCGGCGGCGTCGCCGGCTTCCGCACCGTGCTCGTCGTCGCGCCGGCGACCGTGCTGCAGAACTGGTGCGGCGAGGCGGAGAAGTGGTCAGAGCGGGCGAAGATGAGCTACTTCTACTACCACGTCAAGGCGGAGCAGCCGCTCAAGAAGCGGATCGCCACGCTGCGCGAGTGGGCGCGCGACGGCGGCGTCGCCGTCATCGGGTACGAGGCGCTGCTCGCGCTCGTCAAGGGCAAGGCGCGCGAGCAGGCGGTGCCGCTGCTGCAGCAGCCGGGCCCCGATCTGATCGTGCTCGACGAGGGCCACCGCATCAAGAACATGCAGAGCAAGCAGCACGCTGCGCTCGCGGCGGTGCGCACCCGCCGCCGCGTCATCCTCACGGGCACGCCGCTGCAGAACAACCTGAACGAGTACCACGCGATGGTCGACTTCGTGCGGCCCGCGCTGCTCGGCACGGTGCCCGAGTTCCGCAACCGCTTCGTCGCGCCGATCACCAACGGCAACACGCTCGACGCCTCGGCGGCCGACGTGCGGCTCTCGCGGCAGCGGATGGCCGTGCTGCACGACCTTGTGCAGCCCTTGCTCCGCCGGCGCACCGCCGAGATCCTGCGGCAGGCGCTGCCGCCCAAGCGCGAGATCGCGCTCTCGTGCCGCCTCGCGCCCGTGCAGCGCTCGCTCTACAGCACCTTCCTCGAGCACGCCAAGGCGGCGTCGGGCGCCTCGGTGCGCGGGCTGCTCGGCGGCTACCAGACCATGCAGCAGATCTTCAACCACCCCGCCACGCTCTACCGCTGCGTCGACGCCAAGGGCGCGGCGGGCTCCAAGCGCGAGGCCTCGGGCTACGACTCGATGGACGACTTCGTCGTCGAGGAGGACGACACCAGCGGCTCCGAGGGCGACGACAGCGGCGGCGGCGGCGGCGGCGGCGGCGGCGGCGGCGGCGGCGGCGGCGGCGGCGGCGGCGGCGGCGGCGGCGGCGGCGGCGGCGGCGGCGGCGCGGAGGGCGACGGGGACGCGTGGTACGAGGCCGCGCGCCCCGCGGCGTCGAGCGACGAGGTGGCGCTGAGCGGCAAGTGCCGCGTCCTCTTCGCGCTGCTGCGCGGCGCGGCGGCGCGCGGCGAGCGCACGCTGCTCTTCTCGCAGAGCCTGCACCTGATCGACCTGCTCGAGGCGGTGCTCAAGCGGCGCACGCGGCCGGCGGGGGACATGAAGTGGAAGCGAGGGCGCGACTACATGCGGCTCGACGGCACGACGCCGCAGGCGCAGCGGCAGCGGCTCGTCGACCACTTCCAGGACGAGGAGAGCGACGCGCGGCTGCTGCTCATCTCGACGCGCGCGGGCAACCTTGGGCTCAACCTGACGGCCGCCACGCGCGTCGTCCTCTTCGACTCGAGTTGGAACCCGTCCAGCGACTCGCAGGCGAGATTACCCGAGATTACCCGAGATTACCCGAGATTACCCGCCCGGAACCCGTCGAGCGACTCGCAGGCCATCTTCCGCGCGTGGCGGTACGGGCAGACGCGGCCGGTGTACGTGTACCGGCTGCTGGGCGAGGGCACGGTCGAGGAGCTCATCTACAAACGGCAGATCTCCAAGCACGCCGTCATCTCGGGCGTGTGCGACGACGAGCAGATCGCCACCTCCTTCTCGCAGGCCGAGCTCTCCGAGCTGTGGTCGCTGCGGGACGAGGCGCCGCGCCCGTCGGCCGAGCTGCTCGCCGAGCCCGAGGCGCGCTTCCCGACGGTCGAGGGCATCGGCGCCGACCGCGTGCTGCGCCGCGTGCTCACGTCAGAGGAGTCGGGGCCGTGGGTGGCGGCGGTGCGGCGTGCCCGACGAGCCGACCCTCCCACATCTCCCCACATCTCCCCACATCTCCCCACATCTCCCCACATCTACCCACATCTACCCACATCTACCCACATCTCGGCCCATATCTCCGCACATCTCCCCACATCTCCCCACATCTCCCCACCTCCCCACATCTCCCCACATCTCCCCACATCTCCCCAATCTCCCCAGGTCGTGTCGCACGACTCGCTGCTCGAGGTGGACGAGACGCTCGAGCTCTCGAGCGAGGAGCGCGCCGCCGGCCAGGCCGCCTTCGAGGCGGAGGAGCAGGCCAAGCGGGCGCAGAGTTGCGACAATTTGAATATTTTTTTCGAAATGCTTATCTCGAGGCGCAGCAGACGCAGCAGAAGCACCAACAGGCGCTGCAGCAGGCGCAGCAGCAGGCGCAGCAGCTCATGCAACAGGCGATGCAGCAGGCGCAGGCGCAAGGGCAGTCGCCCGCCCAGCAGCAAGCGCTCGCGCAGCAGGTCCAGCTGCAGCTGCAGCAGCAGCTGCTCCAGCTGCGGCAGCAGCAGCAGCAGGTGGTGGCGGCGCAGCAGCTGCAGCAGGCGCAGGCGCAGGCCGCCCTTGCGCAGCAGCAGCAGCAGCCGCAGCAGCAGCAGCAGCCGCAGCAGCAGCCGCCGCAGCAGCCGCCGCAGCAGCCGCCGCAGCTGCCGCAGCAGCCGCCGCCGCAGCAGCCGCCGCCGCAACCAGACGCCGTGCCGCAGGAAGGGCTCCCGCCCCCGGCGGGCTTCCGCTTGGGCGCGGCGGTGGTGGTGCAGGGGCTGCAGTCGCGGCCCGAGCTCAACGGGGCGAGGGCGACCGTGCTCAACTTCGACGAGGCCAAGGGCCGCTACCAGGTGCGCCTCGGCGAGGGCCCGGAGCACGAGGTGATCGCGCTGAGGCCCGCTTGCCTGGTTGAACATGTGGAATAGCTCTTGCTGCCGCCTGGTTGAACATGTGGAATAGCTCTTGCTGCCGCCTGGTTGGACATGGCGCGCCGCGCGGGTCTCGGCGGCGCGACGGCGCGTCGGACGCGAGCTGGAGGGGAGCGAGCGGAGCGGCTCCGTCGGTGATCAGCAGGCGCCGAACTCGCCCCCGCACAAGCAGCGCCGCGGCCCAGCCTGAGCCGGAGCCTGACTCTCTCGCCGCCGCCGCCGCCGCTGTCGCCCATGCCGGTGGAGGGCGCCGCAAGCTTCGAGGTGCTGGTCGGCGGCGCGCCGTGCCACGAGTACGCGCACGACGGCAAGACGTACGTCGAGATGGACCTGCAGCACGCCACGAGCTACGACTGCAAGTACGTCGACGACACGCCGCACGGCACCGTCCGAGGAGAGCGTGTGGCCCGTCACGCCGTTCGAGGTGCGCGCGCGCAACGTGAGTGGCGCCGAGACCTCGCCCGCACTGCGAGTGTCTCTGCTCTGAGCAGCTCCGCTGGAATCTTAAGCGCGTCGCCTCGCGCGAAGGCTGGGACCTGCAGCGCTGGATCGCTGCGCAGCGTGCGGCGGTACATTATAGAGCGTCGCGGAGAACGATGTCGCCGAGTTGCGGTGTCGGCCAGATGTCGGCCTTGGGTTGGGGCGGGGTGGCTCGGGTCGGGGTGGGGCGAGTTGTGGGTGTTGGGGGGTGGGGTGGGGCGGGCGCGGGTGCGGAGTGGGACTCACGTGACTGCCTTATCTTGTAAATAAAATTGCGTGGCCCCGGCACAACGAAGAAGGCACCGACGTCCTCGACATAGCCGGCGTAACACCCCTAGCAGCTGAACCGCTCCCTAAGTCCAAGGAGCATCATCAGTCTCACCCACTTCGCTCGCTGCCCACCGTCTCAGCTAGGCAGCCGTCCGTGTCCGGGTAAGCTGAAGAGAAAAATATGTTGGCCGCCGGGTGATCTGGACGAGAAATTTGGCCGACCGGGTAGGGTAATCTGCGAGGCGAATCTCAAAAACCGGGTAATCTGAAATTTATCCAAAAAACAAAAAGAATTTTACAAAAAACTCCCTCGCAAAAGAATTTAAAGAAAACAACTCTCTCTCACAGCAGACAGGCTCGACACAGGTGCGAACTGGCGCGTGCTAGTACTATCACTGGCACAAAAGAAAGTTCGCCCCCCTCAAAAACAAACACGAAAACCTTGGCGCGGCAACCAATCCAGCCGGCGGGAAGGCGCGGCCCCATTTGATGGTCCACTTCGCACTCTTCTCGCTCGGCCTGGCTCCGCTCTACCTGCCCACGCTCCTGCAGCCGTCGCAGGAAGCGCTTTTGCACCGCTCCATTCAGACGTGGGGCATCTCGACGCTCCGGCAGCAGATCCATGCGCGCCATGTCGCCAAGGTTGCGTTCTACGCCGACGAATCGGCGGTGGAGGTGCTCGACTCCAACGGGCTGCAGCGGCGGGTCGCCATCTTCCCCGGGGTGGCGCCGATCCTACTCCAGGACCTCCGCTCGGAGAAGCTTCCCTTCTTTGTCGTGCCCGAGCGCCCGCAGGCGCCGAGCGTCGTGCTCGCATTTGCCCGCGGCTTTGTCTCGATGCTGGTCGTGATCCTGGTCATCAACGCGCTGGGAATGCTAGACCAGTTCGTCTGGGGCTGCATGATCGCCGGCAGCGTCCTCAATGCCGTCTCCGAGCAGGTCGCCTCGGCGTGCGGGGCGGCGGGCGCGGCTGCGGGCGCGCGGGTGGCGGAGGGGAGGAAGCGGCACGGCGAGGCGGTGGCGGGGCTGTACCGGGCTCTGGGCGCGCTGTCGGCGGGCGGGCCGGCCCCTGTCCCACCGGCTTCGGGGCGCCCGGTGCGGGAATCTCTCCTTGTCTCGGTGAGGCCGGCGGCGCGCAGTCGCCTCGCGGCTGGCAGGCTGCGGCGCGGCGCAAACGGGGCGAGGGCTGAGGCGGAGGAGGCGCGGCTGCCGCTGGTCACGTCGGACGAGGAGGCGGAGGAGGCCGACGATCCGCTCGCCGACTACGACATCTGATCTGAGTGGGCGGCCGCCGATTTTGCCACATTTTGTATTGCTTCGTTCCCGAGGGCTGACTTGCGGTCGGCTCGGCGCGACATCCTGTATCTGTCAAGAGGGGCGTTTAGAGCATGCATGCGTGTGGGTGGCGTGCATATTTGTGGTCGCGTCAGTCGCGGGGCTCCTGTGTTGTGGTGTGTGGACGTGGTATAATATTGTGCGGGCGGTGTGTTATTTACAAACCTCTCTCTCTCTCTCTCTCTCTCTCTCTCTCTCTCTCTCTCTCTCTCTCTCTCTCTCTCTCTCTCTCTCTCTCTCTCTCTCTCTCTCTCTCTCTCTCTCTCCCCCTCCCTCCTTCCTTTTCCCTCCCCCCCCCCCCCCCCCTCTCTCCGCTCGCCTCTGGCTGGCCAAAACCGTATCAAACCGCATAGGCGGGCGTGAGCGCTGGCACGTGCACAGAGGGATGTTGACATACGCGGCACACGTGCCGATCTAGGGAAACATATACGCGCCCCATGCGTGGCAGCGTGGGCGTGTATGTCACGCTTGGCCAAAGTACACAGGTTTCGATCCGGGCCACCAGTGCTCGAACTTTACCGGTATGGGAGTTTTTGGCTAATCAAACCCTAGGCCTGCACTAATCAAAAAGTGGTATGGGATACCACCTGCCTCACGGAAACCAAAGCGAGTCCGAGTGCATTTTTGCGGCTAAATCGGCGAAATCGGCAAAATACCCGGTATTTTGCGGGTACCCGCGTCCGGCGACGGCATCGATGCTGTCTGCCCGAGCGTGACTCGCAACTCCACGATTTCTGCCGACAGAAGGAGTGCTTCCGCTTCCTCCCCTTCTCCAAACACGCCCAGCGCTCCTACGCCGACGCCGCCTACGACCGGCCGATGGACATGGGCGCGCCGTCGTTCACGGGCGAAAGCAAGCTCTGCAAGTGCGCGACACGCGCGACCGGCGCGAAAGCCGCCGCGCGCTCCTCCGCGGCGGACGCACGCGCCCAGGCGGCGAAGCGCATGCGCGCGGCCGCCAAGAAGCCGCCACCCGACGGCTTCTAGAGGGAGAGGTTCTCCCCAAGCGAGGACTAGACCGCGACACGCAGAGTAGTGTGTGCCCGAGTCACCCTCGCCGCATGTCGACCGAGCTCTGCGCTTTATGTAGACTTTAGCCTGGCACAGTAGCGGCTGTGGGTGTGGTCCCAGGAGGCGAAGCCATGCAAAAGTGCGGGTATTACCCGGGTATACCTGTGGGTTTTTGCAGGTATGTATGTATCTAAGGAAGGAAGTCAACTTTGATGGGGGCAGCCAAATTTGTCGGTGACGTCTCGTCACCTGCGTTACCGTCAGGCGATCATTTCGACTTCTAGTTCGACTTCACATGCGTGAGCCGATGGTAGTCGGTGTACGTGCGCGTAAAATAGCGCTCAACGAGGTAGGCGGTCACCGGCAGCACAACTAGGAGGATGAGCTTCGGAGATACGTCATACCCCGAGACCTGCAGCGAAATGGCGGTGAGGACGTTGAACTGAAAGAGATATTGGGCGTAGGACCCCCTGGCGAGAATGACCATGATCCTGCTGGCAAAGATGTAGCGAGCGATCGGGTCCGATTGCGCAACACACCCAAAGATGATCAAGAGCATTACTGGGATCAGTCCACCGTTGTGAAGGGCCAGCCACACCTTCGGCCAGCCCTTCATTCCTGGATTTGCCACCTGCGGATAGGTAAGGCCGCGATGCAACCGAGCTAAGCCGAGTTGCAGTGAAGATACTTGAGAGCCGCACCCTCTTGAGCCTCCACAAACATTCGCCAAGTCGAGAAAAGGGCGGCTCCGCGGAGCCTGGAGCACGAACGAGCACCACACCGCCTGTTTGAACCTCAACCTCTCATAGACGAGCACGCAGCGCCATCCGCCATAAGAGAGGTAATTCTTCTCAATAAGGTAAGGCAGCGTCCACGGAACGCTTCCATGGCGACTACCCGACGGCGCATTCGTCTTAGTTGTCTCGCCGACACACGAGGTAACCAAAGGTCTGTGAAGGGATTGCGAGTTGGTGCTGTCCGCTGAGTCGGTGTGTGTACAGTGGGGCAACCCTCGTGACTCGCCCACCGCCACTGGCCGCACGTCAGGCTGTCGCATGGCCTCCACGTCGGCCTGCGTGACCGCCTTCTTGACGAGAGGCATCAACGAGGCGATCGAGGCGGCGCCGTAGAACCAGGTGGGCAAGTCCCCGCTGGCGAGCTCCGAGGCGAAGGCGTCGTACTTCTGCATGTACCTCGTCTGGTTCGTCGAATAAGGAAAGGTCTGGATAGGTTTTGGGGGCTTTGGACACCGAGAATGGTCATTTTATTTTATCTGTAGGAGCCATATCTCTCTACCTTAGAAGATTCTCGCGCCGTGCCCAGTGTTGTGCGAGGGAGCTTTGTTGTAATTCTCGCGCCGTTATATGTCGGCCGGTCGTCGGCTGCTGCTCTCGCCTCGCTGGCGGCGCGTTCAAGTGCCGCGGCGCCCAGCCCTCCTGTGGGCCCCCGGCGGCTCGCCGCCGCGGTTCCGCACAATGTGACCGATCCGGGTTCGTCCCGGCGTGCCGCCGGTGCCGCTTCATCGCCGATTTTTTGCTCGACCAGTTAGTCGACAATCTTGTACCAGACGCCTGCTGCTCGACTGAGCGGCGGAGCCGGCCCCTCGCGGCCGAGGCGTGATGCGCCAGCACCGGGGCTACGGCTCGGGACCGTCTCCGGGCCGCCTCGGGCAAGTTCAAAATTTGATGATTTCATGACCTCGCCACTTTGCGGCTCTTTGACATCCACCTCGCGGCCCGCTGCGCGGCTCCTCGAGCGCGAGAGGCGTCGTCTGCGAGGCGGCGGCGAGCGCAGGCGGCGCAGGCGGCGGCGGCGCGGAGGCGCGGAGGCGGATCGCGGCGCTGACAACGGCAGCAACCTGCGGCAGGCTGCTGCTTGCTGCTGCTGCTGCTGCTGCGGCTGCTGCAGCTGCTCCGCTGCACTCGAGACCCACCCCTCCGCCCCACCCCTCCGCCCCACCTCGACAAATATAGGCGCTCGATTCTCCCACTCGCTGCCTACTCGCTGCCTCGAGGGAGGAGGGGAAGAGGACGGGCGTGCTTGCGCGCCTGACGCGAGGCCCCTCCCCCCGAAAGGCAAGTATTAGTACCCCGAAAGGGCCCCGCTCTTTCCTTCGCATAGCGGCCACTCTTCGGATCGCTGGTCGAGCGACCCGGGGGATGCCCCGCGCGCCTGACCCAGGCGCGAGAAACGAATCTGCGAGGCGCGGCCGCTCCTCGGGGGACGCAGGGGTCAGCCCCGCGCGACCTCGGGAACTAGCCGGGGCAGTCGGAGAAGGGGCAACTCCGTGCACTGACGGTCGGCCGCCAGAAAACACGCCTGCGTGGATCGCGTCACACCAATCCTCGCTACCCAACGCGGCCAAAGGATATCCACCTCGAGAACCTCGAGAGAGACCCTCGAGATATGTGCGTTCACAGCCTTGTTATTGAGAATGTGTGTATCGCGCGCCTTGCGGGGGGGGCGCGGAAAAGAGGAACCTCTTAGCGCCATCGCCACGGTGCTGCATGCAGCGCCGGGCGACGACGGCTTACCGCCTCCCGGTCCCCCTCGGCACACCTCCGCTGCTTAATGTTTGGCGACTCGAACCCGTGAAGCTTCCCCGTGCGCGGGTTACCCCGCACACGGGTCAGCCTGCCAGCCACGTATCCACGCAAGCGTGCGCGAGAAGAATTCAGCCAGAAGAATTCTACCCACAACGAAGCCCCTCCGTCAAGTACCGCCGTCGGCAGCGGACCACGCGACACCGTCCAGCGACAGCGCGGCTGTCGGCTCAACCGAAGACCACCATTGCTCAAGAAGCTCAAGAAGGGGCTGCTAACTTGTCCGTCCGCGCGTCCGTCTTCTTCAACGAGAAGCAGCGGCTGCAGCGGGATCTGACGGCGCTGGCTCTGGCCGTCTACGCCGAGACCACCGGCGCGCCGCCTCGCTCGCTCGCCGTGCTCGACGCCCTCGCCGCGTCGGGCGTGCGCGGGCTGAGGTACGCGCTCGAGGTGCCCGCCGTCGGCACGGCGGTCCTCAACGACGCGAGCGACGAGGCGGTCGCGGCGATGCGCGAGAACGCCCGGCTGAGCGGCTTCGCGGCAGCTCGCGAGCGTGGGTCGTACCTCCACGCGGGCGGCGCGCGGCTCGAG